ATCTCTGTCGATTTAACACAGTCATTTGCACAGTTTGCACCGTGTATCTAGCTTCTTTCAAGTTTAGATACATTTGGTAGAGAAAATTTATAGCACAAAATTTATAGTTGGAATGCTAATTGGCATAATTTCGAAGATTAAAAATTTTTCTCGAAAGAGAGAAACAATTCCAAAACCTTCTTTACCTTTCAGCCTTACACCATTTTCCCCTTAATAGGGGTTGGAAATGGCTTTTCCGTTCCCCATTTTTCGAAGTTCGTAGGTCGAAAAGTCAGGTGTCGGTCAAGGTAAAAAGCTCGTCGAAGCTTTAAACCCTCCTCCCTCTCTCCCCCACTTTTCTCCTTTTCTCTATCCTCGTCTCTGATTGCTCTCTAAAAGACAATCGTTCGGACCGTCAGCTCTTTCCTTTTGAGGAAATTTTGCTGGGTTTAAAGCGCGACACTCGGGTTGGCGTGACTTTCGATGTTTAGCCAAGGAAAGTTCGAGGCCGATTCCCCTTGCCCCTTCCCCTTGTCACGCGAACTCGGGAATCCGAGTTGGAACAATGCAATTCCAACGAGCGCTTCGTTTCGTTCTTGGGACAATTTGAGAAACTTTCACGGATGCAAGCGTTGCTTCTTTTTCTTTCTCCCCCTCGTTTTCTGTTTTCTTCGCCTCCCTCGAGATGGCGAACAACTCTTTGAAAAAGATAAATTGGCATCGATGGTAGTTAAAGTAGCCTTCCAGGAATTTCAAAAAAAGAAAAATAAAATTCACCTCGATCAGAAAACGATCCTTGTCGCGCGAATATCTCAAAAAAAAATTCCAATTTCGATAAAAAAGAAACCTATAATACACTCGATGAAAACACAATGAAAATCGCAAATCTCCTCCAATTCTTCCACGAACTCGAGATCAACCTCGATAATTCTATTTCGATGATTCCTAGCTCTCACCTCCCCCCATCTTTCGAAGCATTCCTCTCGATCTAGGCCAAAGAGAAAAAGAGAGAAAGAGGCGAGAAAGAAAGAACTCGTATAAAGAAGAAAGAGACGGAAATCGTCAAATAAAAGAGAAGAAAAGGAAGGATTAAATAGCCAGCATTGTCGCCAACTTTTCCCCCCTCTCCTTTTCATCCTTCGCTCTTCCATTTACCTAAATCCTTCTCTCTCTCTCTCTCTCTCTCTCTCTCTCTCCCTCTCTCTCCCTCTCTCTCTCTCTCCCGTCTCCTTTCCCCCCTCTCGACCGGTTATACATGCACGAGCTCGTAATAATATAGATGACTCCAATGCGATTAGGAACGCAAGCTCGCCGAGAATGGTCCTTCAGAGGTGCTTACCAGGCGTTCACCATCTCTGTTCCGCTCTTACCGGCTCGCTTGCAATATTCGAGCCTGCTAGAAGCGTCCTTTCACCCTCCCCCCCTCTCCTCCTAATCCCCTACCCCCCACGTGCACTTGCCTTTCCGCGTCATCCGCCGGGCTAAAGGACTCCCGGGCCGAGAGTATCTGCCTACTTAACACAGCCACCGTGCATACATTTTTAATCGGCTCCGCGATAATGCCTTGACATCTTCGCGTTCATCGATCCGTGCCGAGATTCGAGGAGAGAGAGAGAGAGAGAGAGAGAGAGAGAGAGAGAGAGAGAGAGAGAGAGAAAGAGAGAGGGGGGAGAGAGGATCCTACGCTTTGTTTCAGGTGTCTCTTCTCGTTTGTTTGTTTAACCGTTTGGGATGGAATGGGGGAACGAGTTGGGGAAGGAGTTTGGTTTGGGTTTTGATTTTGAGATTTTCGTTTGGACGATTGGGGAGAAGGTTCTTCCAGATTGATATTTCTATAATGTAATCTTTTAAGGGTAAAATTTGAAAGATTTGTGCGCTTTGTAGAATTGAGTGTAATATAATTTTCTTTTTTTTTTTTTGGATAAATAATAAATGTGGAGACGTTTGGAGGAGAAATATTTATTTCTTTTAAATAAGAGAATTATTTGAAATAATTGTTGTTGTTGTTTCAAATTATTGTGAATACGTTTGGTGGCTATTAACTCAATTTTCCGTATTCTGTATAATTGTCACGATTTAAAATCATCGTATTCCAGGGACGATATCAATTCGTTGATTTATATTCGTCCGATTCGTGTAAATCAGATTTAATAACGTTCGATGATTAATAATTAAACGTGCAGATAAATTAATAACACAAAATAAGGTGATTAATCAATCGTTTATTGATAAATATTTTTAATTTTGAATTTATTTAATGCATGTTATTCCATGCAATTATTATTTTTAATAAAGATTCTGCAAGATATGAAAATTGGTTTTGATTTTGTTAGGTTCTTTTTTTTTTTATTTGCATTTCTCGCTTCCTTTCTCTTTTTTTTTTCTATTTTCCTTATCTATCTTTTCCTTTCCAATTCTTTCTCCTTCTCTACAATTCGTTTCACTTTCAGTCTTTCCCTTTCCACCTTTTGTGTAAGCTAGACATAGTACACGTTTAATTTCCGCCCTCTCGACTCAACTGCACGATTAAAGATCGCAAAAACGCGCGAAAGGGGGTTGGTAAACGATAATGGCGAGTGTATCTTATAATTCCGCGAGAATGAACGAACTCGAATTTTGTTGGCTGGATCTTACTATCTCTTTCTTTGCACGTTCTTGTAATCGTTTCAAACTCGTAGACGTTGTAATTATTAAATTACCATTTAATTTAGAATGAAAGTTTAATTTCTTGTTAATTAAATATTTAATAGCAATACATTTGTAAATTAAACTTTTCTACGTTACAAAATGAATAATATGATAACGAATAATAATATTCGAAAAATTTTAAATATCGTACATTTATTACTTTTCTTTTTTCTTTTTTTTTTTTTTTATTCAATTCTAATTATATTCAAAAATGTAAGGATGCAAATTTGATTCGGTATAGAAAATGAATAATATGGTAACGAATAATAATATTTATTATTTTTATTTTTCTTTTTTTTTTTTTTCATTTCTAATTATTCAATTCAAAAATGCAAGGATACAAATCTGATTCGCGTTCTACACGTGTAATTAGTAGTACTGAATCATTGGAATTATAGAAAATGAATAATATGATAACGAATAATAATATTCGAAAAATTTTAAATATCGTACATTTATTACTTTTCTGTTTTCTTTTTTTTTTTTTTTCAATTCTAATTATATTCAAAAATGCAAGAATGCAAATCTGATTCGTGTTATAATTAGTAGTAGTGTAGAATCATTGGGGCTATAGAACTGCAATCCTGAAACAGGATAGAATTACGCGGGTAGGGGAAGCTTTCCCCGAGGGGAAAGTCAGTTTTAATACTTTGAAGGGTTTAGCATAACACCGCAAACAGAAGATTAACGCAATATTACTTAACGTATATAATCGAGTCACTTTCTCATTCGAACTTGCGATACTCGAACAAGTTCGTCACTTAACGAGTCACTTAAGCAATTATTATATCATTCGATCACGAACGGATCTGTTAAAAACTTACTAATTTCACTAATTCCGTCCTTGCACAAATGACTTTCGAGAAAATTTCTCTTGTAATCATCTCTTAATAATCGTGCACAGTATCTTCAAAATCCATGAAAAAATCTATCTCTATCGAGAAGAATTTTTCCCAATTCTCGACATATATATAACATAAATTGAATAATATTTATGTTAAAAACATTTCAAGTTCATTATATCAAAGTTAGAATATACGAACTCGAGTAAAACATAATCACGAATTTCGACGTATTATTACGAGGCGTGCACAACAATTATTATTATTATCGTGCGCGTTCTCTAACAACACACCTTTCTACTACCGTAGAATTTAACGTAAACCCGAGACATTTTGTCTCGAGGGCATGGACGTTAAATTTCTTTAATCTGGGGAAGTAACGCGCGAAGAGTTTGCCGCACGCGGACGTGGGATCCTTCGTTTCGCTAAGTTGGTAACAATTAGTAGTTAGTAAGCCCCAAGAGCGAGGTCGTATTCTCTCTGGCAGCAACGATTATTGCAAGCCTGGAAATGGTACTAACGATGCGTACGCAAACTTTACATTTATCGTTATTGTGCTCCGTCAACCACTCGCGCCAGCTGTTCTACACTTCCGTAGCCACTCCTTTCCTTTTGTTCCTGATACTGCTGCCGTTCTTTTTTCCCCCTCCATTTTTTTTCCTTTTTTTCTTCCCTCCGCGGATTTTTCTCTATCTCCTTAGCTTCTTAGCTTTAATGGATCTGTCACGTTTTCTTTCTATCGTATTCTTTTCTTTCTTTCTTTCTTTCTTTTTTTTATTTTATAATCACTAGATGATTTCTTTTGTTTTTAGCATTCATAATACTTTATAGTCGAGGTAATTCTTTTTCTTAAGTATCCTTCTCTCTAATTGATTTTAAAATGTAATATCGAACTCAATCGTCTTACAACTCTACGATTCGTGATCATTTTATAATTAAGATTATTCTGACACTTCACGTTTCTAATTATTATTTAATTTATTCTAAAATATATATATATTATTCGTAAATAAATAATATAAATATCTAATAATTAAAACTTGATAATTTAACAAGTAACGATAAACAATGTGCTAAGAATAGAATTATAGTAATGAAAAAAGTTTACAGTAAGAGGAAAGTCGCATAGAAGTGCCGAAAGTAGCAAAATAAAGTCAGAACCCATTTCCCATTATGGGAAAAACGGTGACTCACTTCCTTGGCTCGATGGTTATATCTTATATTGCAAATATTGCTAACGAGAATCGCGTTCGTGCTCAGAGCCGCCTAGCGGTATAATCGGTACTATGGTATGGTTGTTCAGGTTATAATTAAATATAATGCCTCCTCTGTGTTTAGAATTTTAATCTTTATGTCAGAATATTTTTTATATTCCATACAATTATTCGTGTTAATACATCGAAAAAATTAAATCATTTTTGTTAAAAATATTAATTTAATTCAAATGTATCGTAAAATATAGAAGCATTTTTAGCAACAGTAACATATATTAAATGTTAGACAATATTATATTCGAATATTATTTCCGATATACGAATTTTTTAGTTTCCTTAAATTTTTACAAATCGATAATATGTAGTTTAAATAGGAACAGCGATTCGTTATTAAATATTATTCTTGCACACAAATGGAAAAAATAAATAGGAACATTTTTCGTACAAAGTTCGAAGCCAGGTAGAATTATCTCTGTAAATATTAATACAAAAATTATATTATTACAAAAATACTTGTCATTTTTATTCTATCATACAAATATTATCTCAATTGTCTTATTCCTTCTTTCACCATTAAAACAATCGATATAATAAACTTTTATTACATCGATTTATTATAATTCTGATAAAAATTTCCAAAATTAAAAAAATTAAAAATAATGATAACAACAATATATCTGATTCGATTAATTTCTTTTATCAATTTTTATTTTTATTTATTATTTTAATTATTATTTATTTTTTTTTTTTTTAATTATTTTACAGGATCTATATTTTCTTCAAGACTTACAACCACATTCTCTCAAATTTCACCGGCAACGAAAAGGGTAAGTGCTAAAACCAATTTCCCAAATTCTTTTTAAAAGAATCTCTCACAGAGATCGTTCTACCTGGTACATTACCGAGTTAACTCGACAACCTGGTTATTAACCCTTTCACAGTACAGTACAAGAGAAACTTAGGCAACCCATAAAATACAGTATTATAATTCTCCTCATCGTATTATAATTAACATTATATAATATTTTAATCCCATAATGTAATTATTCTTAAACTTATCAAACATGAAAGAATAATTTAATAAACTGCAATTATTTCTATGACAAAAACTTTCTTCGCTCAACTTTAAAATAAATTAATTCATATACTTCGTTTCATTATACTATTTTACTATACCGCGAAAGGATTAAATTAACAAAAATGTTGCACCAACTTTTCTACTATGTCGTCATCATCATCAATAACAAATAATTTTCGGTTGGAAATTTCGGTAAAACCATTCTTAATCCCCTGAAATCGATCTCCAGCCTGAAGTGTGATGAAACTCGAGGCTGGAGGTGTTCAAACACAGAAATCCCGCGGAATATCGAAGTAGGGATGAAAGAAGTCGAGGGAAACGTCAGTTTTTTTGCGGTTTTATCATCCGACTGGCCGGGGGTGGTAATTTGTTGAAGCCCGCGTTGTCGAAGACCGGAAGTAGGTCCCTGACTCTTTGTCCAGCGCCGATGGCTGCCAACTCGAGCCATCTGAAACGATGGCGTGCTTTGAAAAATGAACATCCCTTTCTATCCCCATTCTTGTTACTTGTTCGAACAGCAAAAGTACTGCTTTCGTGCTAGGAATTGCGATGTGTAAATTGGGCCATTGAGTGGCTTTACTTCGGTTAATTAATTAATGTGTCGTGCGTGTTTAAGAGAAAGCTAGATCTTTAGTAGAAATTAAATTAAAAAACGGAATGGTTAGGTTAAGTTAGGTTGGATTAAAAGTTAAAGCAAAAAAGACTTAAATATCCTAAAAGAGACTTAAACTTAAAATTGTTTAAAAAAACAGTTTCACAAATTTTATATCTTAATTCATTTACTGCCAGATCCAAAGTTTTTTTTCGTATTCGAGTGAAACAACAAATTGGGAATCGAACAGAAGATATTCAGTAATACGTGACAATGCTAGGAATAAAGGGACCTAATTTTCTTATCACCTCCTTTCTAATCCTCTTCTATCGAAACATTGCAACAATCAAAAGCTGGCCACTACTTTCCAATCCACGAATAACAAAAGAGAGAAAAAAAACAAAGGGATTAAAAAAGATTATAAAAAATATATATATATATATATATATCTCAAAGGGCAATTTATTATTCTCGAACAATCGAATCAATCGTCCCACCGAGCAACGTAATCAACATTAAAATCCTCTCACCAATTAAACCGAGCTTGATGCATGGAAATGGCAGACGTTGATCCGTGAAACGTCAATTATCGACTCTGGTGCGTTCCATCAAAGACGACAATACTTGGAACGCTGGCGTTGTTCAGCGGGTTTAGCCCGTTTATCGGGCCACGGGATTATTAGCACGGTGGGAAAATAGGGGACCGTATCGGCCGGAATGGAACACGCGTCGCGCTTATGGAATCATAAAAGCCGCGCTTTACCTATTCAATTGTGAACACCGTAAATTGGAAACGACGAAAATACCGCGGCATCGAAATCTGCGCTTGTTTCCACCGTGACAAAGCGGCAGCTGTATCGCGCCGGGGAAACGGACAGTCTAAACTTGCCCCGTTCCGTCGAAATTTAACCCTCTTTTCAACCCGAGCGTTTACATAGGAATAATAATATAACGTATCGTGTTCGAAGAATGACAAAGCTGTGATTTCATAAATTTTCAACCAACTTCAAATTTCCAAGAATTTTTCTACACGTACGTCTTTTCGAAGAATTGAATTTAATTACACGATTCCATCACCTCCTCTTTAATCTCCCCTTCAATTTTAATCCGATACTTACTTATTCCTTAAATTTTTACCTTCTCCAATTTACACATCCAGAAATTCGGATAAAAATCCGTTAATCACGAAACTAATAATATTTCATTAATCCAAAAAAAAAAAAAAAAAAAAAA